TTTCTTTCTTTTATATGCTTTATGGCAGAAAATAAATCAAACAAACAGTATTTTGAAAGGGCATTATCAAAATCTTTGACGAATTTTGGACACACGACGCTAAAGAACAGCCAAACTAGTCATGCATTCGAAAGCTTGTTGTTGACAACCAAGATGTTCTGCCAACTCGAAGTCTTATTTTTAATATCAGGTCCTACCGGCGTTGTTTTCTGAGCTACATCGCCTTCTTCGTGGTACGATTAAGAATTTCATTGTTGCTGTTGTTAGCCCGTTAGAGTATATCCGCGTCCAGCAAGTTGAGACCTTGAGAAAGCTTGGCAGTCAAGCCGTGCACAGAACTGACTAATTAAATCTTTGTTTGCTGTTTGGTTAAATAGGGAAACTGACCCTTAATTATATAAAAGTACCTTGAATTTTTAAGTTTAATTAAAAAGCAAAATGCACACTCTGCGGACATGTTCATGAGAATATTAATTTTTTTGTAACGAAATCTACAACACTTGTCAATCATATTGCATGCTGTGTCTAAAAATAACATGTGGGCGTCCCACGGCCTAGACAGGTTTTGTGTCAGGCCCTATTTCAAATTAGGGCCTGAACTTCAGGTTAGGTTAGGTCTAATAAATGTATAAAAATTCCACTCAAAATTTCCATCCACAAATCTCATCAAAAATTATATATAGTATATAGGAAAACTTTGGATAATATAAAGGGAGTTGCAACGCCAGTAATATGCGACTGCCTCCTCCGCAGGCCCTCGTTGCGTCATGGAAGGGTCATACACAATCGGGCGAGGGCATGCGGTATCTTGTAATGGTGCCGGCGTCACGTCAGCAAATAAATTTATGCATAATTTTCAATTTAAACACGATATAAATAAGCGGTATATAATAAGGGTAAATTAAAATTGCCAAACAAAAATGAAAAATGAAAATGAAAAACAGTAAACATTTGCGTTAAATTTTTTTAATGTTTCGTTTTAAAATTTCTTTCGCTTTGCCATTTATTCATTTTACAAGACTCCGCGGGTCCTCTCGTGATTGTGACCTTCCCATGACGAAACAAGGGCCTGCGGAGGAGGCAGGACATGCTATGCGCCAGTGACCTGGGGCAAGCGTGTTTTGGCGCGAAGATGAAACAACAACAGATTTTCTTTTTTAACAGTTTTTTAGCGATATTTCTCATTTTGTGAAAAGAAAAGTATAGTTTAATTGCATGTACAAGCAAAACATTGCTTTTCCTGCGCCGGATACATTACATTTCTGGCGTAGAAACAGCTGTGGGAGAGGTTTATTTGTAGTATATTTAAAAAAGCTATTTATTGCATTGCATTTCAAATGGATATAGCCTAACATATACCAAACAACTGTCACAATTTGTCATTTCGCAGAAGGTGCGCATGTAATTGTTGCAAGTTCTTTAGGAAAAAAGAATGATGAGCTTGCATATTACGGCGTCAATTACTAGAAATGTTACTAAATCAGAAACATAATAATAAGGAAAACAAACAGTGTATACCAAGTTATAAATTATGGGAACCACTGAGTATTTTAATAAAATACAAAACAACGGTAACTCCGAAAATAAACATTTTAATATTCTAGCTTTCGACTAAGATTATATATATATATATATATATATATATATATATATATATATATATATATATATATATATATATATATATATATATATAATATATATATATATATATATTTAACAATTATACCATGAGCTGGAGTCGTATATGAGCTGATAGCCGACGAGGTGCGTAGCACCGAGTCGGCTATCAGCCATATACGACGAGAGCGAATGGTATAATTGTTTTATAATATAGTCTAATATAGCCATTAACTGAAGCAGTAATTAATTATTCACTGTTACAATGTGTTGACAATTTTTTCGGCCAAAAACCGCTTGAAAATTTGAAATACTTTTGTTTTAATACAACTCGAAGACGAAGTGAAAGAAATGGTTTGAGAACCTCTATATCTCACAGGAAACCTCAGATATATTATACAGATGTTTGGTACTATAGTAAGTGCTTGTCGACTGCAAATTCATTTGTCGATCATTGCAAACTTTTCTGAACAATTTATCTTCTCAATGAACATGTTTTTTCGCTGTTGTTTCGGTATTAATTCTTTAAAAAACTTGTATTTAAACTAATTTCTACGTAATAAATGTATTTTGCTAACCTGTCAATTTTTTTGTTGAGAGTTTTTCCTTGTACTACTATGTTTCTCAAAGTGAATATTTATCTTTTTCTGCTTCGCAAAACTCGTGTAGTTTTTGGACCGCCATCTTGTTTTTTGCTACTCGCCGTATATGAGCTGATATACGGCGAGTAATTCAACCAATCAGATTGCAGAACAGCTCATATACGGTGGATGACTATATTATAAATATATATATATATAGGGTGTATCAAAATAAACGCAATTCATCTTTTGTGCTTAATAACTTTCGAAATACTATTTCTAGTTAAACGCTTTTAGGCTTACTTCAAAGCCTGTTCTTTTCTCTTTCAAACAAACTATTATCCTTGTCTCCAATGCTAGTAATAATTGCACAGGAAAAGATTTAGTAAAACCTATCATTTTTGGTTGCTGTTTAATTATGCAAATTTACTATGTTATTGTTTAGTCGATTTAAATGTTAGAATTTTCTTCTTTAAACTTTAAATGTTGTCGTCACTACATCTGGAAAACCACGTAAGAACAAATTAAAAGTATTTTAAAAGAGACCAAGTTGTTTGAAAATCCTAAACGAACGCTAAAAATCGTCAAAACATTCTGGTGTCTGAGCCAGAGTGTCATCGAATTACGATGTAATGTAAACAGAAATTATAGCAAGTTGATGTCAGTCAGCTTAGATGGTCCAAGCCAAAATTATATCGCATTTGAAGTTTCAAACTGAGTTAAAAATAGTGGAAGAAAAGCCATAATTATACTTATTGTTACAATCCATTTAATAAAATGCAACATTTTTTTGTTTTAATGAAAAAATCAGTTATTTTCATGAGAACGATTTGTTATTCCATCTCAATTTTTTTAATCTCCAATCGCAATAACGTAAAGTATTATTACCCGCGAACCAATGAGTCAAATTTAAGAAACAACCCACTGTTAGAAAGCCGAATGGCTACGCTTTAAAATGAATGTAAACTTTAACGTTTTCGTCTATTATTTGTTTAGCAATTTACATTTCAGTGGAGGATTGCGCTTTTTTTGATACACCCTGTATATATATATATATATATATATATATATATATATATATATATATATATATATATATATATATATATATATATATATATATATATATATATATATATATATATATATATATATATATATATATATATATATATACCGGGTGGCCCAAAAAAGTACTCCTGTTTGATTCGTAATAACATCTAAACAAGTATAGCTTTTAAAGAGAAATAACTTGCATCAAATAGAGGAAGGACTAACTTAGACTTTGATATATTACAGTTGTATTTCACTTAAAAATTCACGGAGATATTAATCTTTAAATTCGGGAGGATATTTCTGGATGTGTCTGAAATATGCAAAAATCGGCGTATCAAATATTAATCAAGATTTGCCCGACTGAAACATGCACTATTACCAGTAAATAAATGACACTTGACAAATTGTTTATTATGAAACAAAGTATTATTATATCTACAAAATACAAGCAAGATTCATTCGTCCGAAATTCGCGTGTGTTCCTAGCACGAATACGTTTCCTTATTTCATGAGACCACTGCATCGCGAAGGATCGTCATTGGATCGTTCGTAGTTCTGAATTAGGGCATGCTGTCACAACGGAATTGTGAAGCTCTTCTAACTTCTGCAACGTTCTGAAATCTTGTTAAGAACACCCAAACTCTTTTGCCGTTTCTTAATCTTGGCAAGTTCATGGAGTAAACTGAGAATTATATGAAACACAATCAAACCATACAACTCCATAAGACATAACAATTAAGCAACTCCCCAGAGACATGCAACATTTTTGGAACAAAACGTAACAAAATAGTAGCGTTGATACGGTGATGTGTATTTGCAAAAAGCAATATTATTTCCTTCAATAAAGAATATTCATCCTGCTCTAACCGAGAAATAATCTACTCAGTCTGTTTGAACCCATTAAAAACATAAAAAATTAGGCTATTTAAGAATACGAAAAATTTAAGCGCCTGCCTTCCATGGTCAGTCTTTCATGTACATTTAAGTTTGCAAAGACCTAATATTAAATACTTGCATAATTTCGAACGTTCATATTTCAGGAAACAATGAGCTAAGACTTACATGTAAGATGTCTAAATCTACGCCATATCCCTTACAAACCTTAACGATAATTCGCTGAAATACAAGTTAGCCTAATATGTCATTAAGCAAACAAACGCTGGAGTTAATATTTGATATGCCGATTTTCGCTAATTTTAGACACATTCCAAAATATGCTCCCCATTTTTAACATTAATATATCCGTGAATTTTTAAGTTAAATACAACTGTAATATATCAAAATCTAAGTTAGTCCTTCCTCTATTTAATGCAAGTTATTTCTCTTTAAAAACTTTACTTGTTTAGAAGTTATTACGAATCAAACAGGAGTACTTTTTTTTGGGCCACCCGGTATATATATATATATATATATATATATATATATATATATATATATATATATATATATATATATATATATATATATATATATATATATATATATATATATATAGTGCATGTCAAGAAGGTTGTCCCCTTCAAATAGTGAAATAGGTATATATATCTGACACGTGACCACATATATGGAATAAATTAACTGCTCTTGAAAAAAAATTATAAATTCATACTTTATTGCATGACATAAGGAGTGCAAAACTATAACTGTACGTTGTTTACACGAAATTTATGAATCAGGAAAATGCCAAAACCATATTCAGATGATTTTCGGTGGAGATTGGTATGGTTAAAGTTGTTTTATGGAATGTCCAATGTTGACATATCATCGACGTTATTTGTTTCGCCAAAAACCGTAAGCCAAATTTACAGACTATTCGTGACAACAGGTAATGTCACCTCGCCAAAAGTATTCGGACGTCCAAAGGGGACGACAACGCTATATGACCACGAGGAATTGATAATTTGTGAGATCTTGTTACGACAACCTACGATACACCTAAAGGAAATGGCGTACGAGATTGAAAATACTACCGGTACTAGATTTCCCGTTGAGAGTTTGTGCAGGACAGTACATCGGCTTGGATTTACCATGAAAAAGGTGAGTTTCAATTACAGTAGAATAATATTTTTTTTCCAAAATTTGAAAAATCGGACGCAATAAACATAGGCATATAGCTTTAATAATTCAATTTAGTGAAATTCAATCAATTTAGATAACGTGTGAATTATAAAACGCTTTAGTTTGTGGCTATCAATATTAATATATGATTCCGACTAGATTTAAACTGATGCTTGGGTTGCATTGACCATTATATTCTTTTACCTGTAGATTGAGAAAGTTGCTGCTCAAAGATGCGAAATTCAGAGGGCACGATTTATGGCTGAGATTGCTCTGTTTCCTTCGGACCAGTTGGTATTCGTAGATGAAACAGGATTTGTATGTGATACTTGAGTATACTTCACGCGAATATCAGTATGTACAGTACATGTAGTATTATATTAAACATTATTGTACATTGCCCAGTAATGCAATATGTTTGCTTATATATTGGGCTAGTAATGCAATATACTTATACTTGTATATTATATAATTCCGTGTATTGCATGTACACTAATAATGACGACAATTAACGGAGTAGGCGCCATGCATAATCACAGGTAGCTATATGTAGCATAGACCCACTATGCATGCATTAAATACCTAACATTAACCAATACGTATAGCGTATAAATTATGTGTTTTACTCGTGTCAAATATATTATATAGAACAGGCGTGTTATGCGAGATTATGGTTATAGCATCGAAGGAACTCCTGCCACATGCTACAGAAAGTATTCTCCCTGGGGTCCACGCTATAATGTTGTAGCTGCAATCAGTACCGAAAGCATAGTTGCAATTAGGATTTGCGATGCGGGTGTTACAGTTGGTGCTGAGGAATTTGTGGCATTCATACAAAATGACCTTTATGCAGCCCTAAACAGATATAATGGTGCAAACAATCGTTCTGTTGTAATACTTGGTATGATATCTTAACCTGATTAAGTTTCTGATTAAATCTATTTTATGTGTCAATCCCTGCATGTATGTACCTCGAGCTCATAAATTTTACTACAAATGTTTTGCTTATAGACAACGCTGCTATATATACATCACGTGCACGAAGTCGAAGATTTTTTTGCACGGACAGGTGTGTTTTTGCGGTATCTACCTGCATGCCTATAGTCCAGACCTTAATCCTATCGAGCAGGCATTTGCCTCGACCAAAAGATTTGTTCGTGACAACGAAAATGTCTATCTGTCGACTAGAGAACCAACGCCAATAATCATGGAGTCGTTTACACAAATTTCCCGCGAACTATGCCAAAGTTATTTTCATCACTGCATGTGGTTACCTTTAGATGTAATACGCTGTTTACAATAACCTATGTATATATATATATATATATATATATATATATATATATATATATATATATATATATATATATATATATATATATATATATATATATATATATAGTCTGTAATCTAAAACTAAAAGTCGGCCTAATACACTCATTAGTTAGTAATTGGCAAATGGTATTATTGCGGCTGTCATTCTACCTTGCACATGCAGGTGTGCCGCAAACTGCAAATCTCTTGCTCATCCTGCATAAGCATGAATGCATAATTAGCATGAACAACGTTCGAACCGTTTTTTATTTCAAATAAACTGGATGTATTACAATATTTATTATAGGGAAAACGAAATATAGTACAAGCATAAAGACTGGATAACATGCATGATAACATTATAGGTATTTTAACAAATTTTCTTTTTTTTCATTGTACTCTTCGTCAGTAAGGGCACCCATTTCTTTGAGGGCAAACAGTTCTCTGATCTGTTTCAGCGTCTCCGTCCTTTTAGTGGTCTCCTATATACGTAATAAGAAATAGATACCGATGTAGTTTATATTGAGCGTGCATAATTATATGCCTATTATATATTGTTCGAGTATAATGCACGATTGTACGAATATGTAATTGCTTAATTCGCAATGAAAATACCACAACATATGCACCAATAATTTAGTGTAGAAATTTTGAACATGTACTTGGAAATGCAAGTGATTATTATCCAAGTATATCGTACAGTGCTGTCATACTCACCGATTCAGCAGGTTCGGAAGCTCGTTGCCTGCATTGGTCGCTGTCACTGTGCGAATCTGACGCTGAAGATGACGAAGCTGCTTGTCTAGGACGTTTTGCGGGGATGCGAAACATTGGTGCATCGGGAAGTGTGTCGACAGTAGCAGATCCAAGCATCTGCAAAATTAAATACTACATATTTCATTCCTCTATATGACAAACATTTTTTTATGATAACGATTTTACCGTTGTTTGCTGAATTATAACGTTTCATAGTAATAAGTTTAAAAGTTTAACATACCACCATTTCGGCCCACAATCGAAATTTGTAAGGTTGGTGTGAGTGTTCCCCATGTTTCCGCTTTAGCGTCTCCACCGTCCTGCTAATTATATCTTCAGCACGCTCAGGCTTGCTACTGATAGTGTTTTGTGTTTCTAAACAAATGACAGTCAAAGCAATAATTGTCGACAATATCTGTTCATTTGAGTTTTATGTTTAGGCTTTTTTTCTTAAGGAGGAAAGTAAATAAAATATATACCCACGTGTTACATTTACTTGATGTTTGGTTGACTGGAAAATGTCGATCCAGAAAGGATTGCCATTCATCGCATTGTCATAGCCTTGTTTCAGCTCGAGAACAGTGCTGATAGAGTACTTCTTATTTTTGTCGCCAACATATCCAAATTGAAAACTTGGTAACGACTCTGATTCTAAGTCAGGAAACGCTTTTAAAATTGCTTTCCTAAAATCCTCTACCGTGTCAACAACAGGAAAGTTTTGTGGCCTTCGCTTTACAAACTTGCTCTTTTTCTTCTCATCCAGAACCCGTATTTCGGCCTGAGGAATAGTCTCGTCGAATTCATCAAACATTGTTATAACTTTTTGATATTTCAAGTTTCCAATTAACATCACAAATGCACGTGCCGCATATACAGTACTGGGTGTATAAAAAAACCGCATGAAACCTCGAAATTTCCCAAGAAATCGACATTGTTTTAAGGACAAAAGATTTTAGGTGCCTGGGAGTTTAAAATAGCACAATTGTCAAAATTAGTGCACACGCGAATGCATAAAGCAAAATTTATGCATTTATTTAACAGTACAACAACAGTAATATGATATACAGGGTGTCCCAAAAAACCCGAAAACTATTGAAATCACTTATTGTAAACTTTGAATGCCCTACCAAACAGCTAGACGCAATGATGCGTAAAATATTGACAAGGTGCATGTATTAGAATTTAGTTAGGAATATCTACTGGTAAAGTGCGCGATTTTCTGCTCCTGGGAATTAAAAACAGCTTCTTAAACAGTTTCTTTATGCATAAAATTTACTTATGTCAATCATTTATGCACTCGTGGGAACCAACAGAGCGCTAAGGCATTCAAATTCTAACAATTAAATTGTTATTGGTGATTTCAATAGTTTTCGGGTTTTTTGGGACACCCTGTACAGGGTGTCTCAAAAAAACCCAAAATCATTGAAATAACGTATTGTTCGAATTTCAATGCCGTAACACAAAGGATTTTGACAGGGTGATTAATTTGTTTTAAAAAATTAAAATATCTTTGTAAAGTGAACGTTTGTTTGCTCATGGGAATTTAAAAATGCTTCGTAAATTGTAATATGCGTAATATGCATTCGTGGGTTTAGTACTTTATGCCTGACATAACAAGTTTACGCTGAGTATTACCATTCATTATAGCAGTTATGTCAATCTTTTATGCACTCGTGGGATTAACTTGTGCTAGGGCATTGAATATCGAACAATACGTCAATTTCAATGATTTTGGGGTTTTTTGAGACACCCTGTATATCAGCAATTCGATTTCAATTCCCAGAGGCCAAAAATCTTTTATGCTTAAGAATTGCAAAATGGATTTCTTAGGAAATTCCGACGTTGTGTTCACTATTATAAAAATTACCCTATTGTGATAGTATGGGGCCGGTTGTATAAAATCGTAATTCAAGTTAACTATAATTATACAGCAGTGGAAACGTTATCCAATAATTTTAATCACTATTTAACTACAAAATAGTGATTAAAAAAGTTATTAAGAGTTTTATACAACCGGCCCCTGATCACTACTGTATGCTAGAGACAAGAGTGCGTAAAAACAATTGAATTTTAATTATAGCAGGCACGTGAAATTCTGTGCTTGTCTTAACAAAAATATGAAAATTTATATAGTGTCACTTTTTTCTGCCCTGGGGCTGGGATACTATGCATACAAGTTTTCAATAGGCCTGCACGCATGCACAAACAATTTTCAATTTATGCTGGATAGAAAACTTACGTTGCATACATTGGCAATTGCCATGCTATAGTTCGTGCGGCAAAGTAAAAATATTAACTGAAGTAGCGAAGATGTGCACGTATAAGCCTACAGATTAAAGCAACTTACTGTAAACCTATACGGATATAACATATATAACAATAAATTAAGAAAAGAAACATAAATCTCGGTTATATTAAAAACAAATGAATAATTTGAGAATGCTTAAAAAATGCATGTCCCATGAAGTAAATATAGCAACATCCATGAGATCTGTGTCTGTTTAGCGGCGGATATATGAAATTTAAACTAATTATGTTGTTGCAAGTATTGTTTTGTTGAGGTCAAGAAGCTTTATATAGTCGTCCAATGAACCTACTGTATATATAGACTTGGGGTATATTTTTAACTTATTCACCGTTTAAGCTAAATCTTAACGGACCGTCCGCCGATCCTGTGTCCATGATCATATACATGCAAAGAATAACCTACTGACCTAACTTTAAACCATTACAAACGGGCATTATTACGACGGTTAAAACTTTGACTAAATATAGAAGCATATATAGATATATAGCTACCAATGGCAATGACAGTGGTTACCAACTCCGGCTCTGGCACTAATTAAAATTACTAATATAAAAAATTCCTACATGTATAATATACATAGTTATACTTGGGGAATTAAGACATTATACAGGGTGTATAAAAAAAACGCAACCTCGGAATTTCCTAAGAAATCACTTTGCAATTCTTAAGCATAAAAGATTTTAGGCCCCTGGGAATTGAAATCGGATTGTTAATAGATCATATTACTGTTGTTGTGCATTAAATAAATGCATAAATTTTGCTTTATGCACTCGCGTGTGCAGTAATTTTGACAGTTGTGCTATTTTAAATTACCAGGCGCCTAAAATCTTTTGTCTTTAAAACAATGTGGATTTCTTGGGAAATTCCGAGGTTGCGCTTTTTTTGATACACCCTGTATATTTTATTTGTTGGTTTTTCAAAATCTATTATTGTAACCTCGCTTTTATAGTTCATGGCATACAGTAGCTATACTATAGGTATAGTGGTCTTTTACGGAATAATACATGCATATTACAAATTCAGACCACAGTGACTAAAGTTCTTTCAAACACACTACAAACAGTACAAGTAATATAGTGTAATACTACACCTGTATGTGTATAAATATTACTTTTGTATTCATATGACAGTTAACGTTTTAATTAAATGTAATGATTCATAAATATCGTGTAAACAATGCTATAGTATTGCACTCCTTGTGTCATGCAATAAAGTATGAATTTATAATTTTTTTTCAAGAGCAGTTAATGTATTCCATATATGTGGTCACGTGTCAGATATATATACCTACTTCACTATTTGAAGGGGACAACCTTCTTGACATGCACTATATATATATATATATATATATATATATATATATATATATATATATATATATATATATATATATATATATATATATATATATATATATATATGTATATGTATATGTATGTATATATATATATGTATATGTATATGTATGTATGTATATGTATGTATGTATATGTATGTATGTATATGTATGTATGTATATGTATGTATGTATATGTAT